CGGGGGGGGGGGAAATCTGTTATTAGTCTGTCAATCAGATTAATAACAGATTCCACCTCCCTCCCTTTTACCTGAGCGGGGGTGGGGGGATCTGTTATTTGTCCATCAGTCTAATAACAGATCCCCCTTCCCTATCTTTTAGCTGGGTTGCCTATTTATCTTTTTTTAAAAAAAATAATTCCTATTGTGTATAGGTTTTTGTAAAACGTTTATCTTTTCCAATATTGTAAATCTCCCAGAGTTACTTTGTGTAAGAAAGATGGTCGATACATTTAATAAAATGAAAAATAAATAAACATACAACTCTCGGATGAAGAATTGCACTCCCAAGTGGGCTGGGACTTGTTTTCTGATTTGTATTTAATTTTTGTGGTATTTTAAAATGTTTTTAGGGTGTTGCAAACGTTATCTTACTGTCATTTTTTTAAAAAAAGCTTACACACACACACATACAAATTTGTCTTACACTTGTACTCTCCTTTACAGAAGAGGTTTTATTCTGTCCAGGCTGCACCCAAAGTTAAAGGCTCTGTAATACCCCGAGTGCAGCTTCCCCCTGAGGATCTTGAGGTCGGTCTGAACTTGAAGTATTCTTTGCATTTTGACATTTTTGTTTAAGGGTATAGTCACATGAGCCTTACATGGACCGACATCTCTTTTCCTAAATGCAGATCACAAAATTATCAAGTGGCTTGGTGATTGCCTCCCTGGAAAACTATTGCCCAGTTTCTAGCATTGGTCTCTTCATTAAAGCAGGCAGTAGATATGAGACTTCCAGCAATTTGGGAACGTCGCATCTGCTCCGTCTTGCAAGCAGCCTGGTGAGTTGCCCTTGTTGATTTTCTTCTAGAACAGCGGTTCTCAACCTATGGGTCGCGACCCCATTTGGGGTCGATCGACCATTTCACGGGGATCGCCAAGCAAGGCTGTCCGCCATTTTTTTTCCCTTTTCCGGCGGGTGCCTTACCTCCCTTGGGCTGGGCCAGCTGGTGGTCGGCCTGCTCCGTCTCTGCGCTTGCCAGCTACGCCTCGGCCGGTGCAGGGGGCGGAACCACGCATGCGCGGCGCTCCCGGGCAGGGAAAGTCCTCAACTTATGACCGGTTGGGTAGTCCTCGACTTACGACCGGTTTAGTCCTCGACTTACGACCGGTTTAGTCCTCGACTTACGGCCGGTTTAGTCCTCGACTTACGACCGGTTGGGGGTCGCGGCATTAAAAAGGTTGAGAACCACTGTTCTAGAAAGTCAAATGCACTAAACGTGAATTTGAGGTGGGAGAATCAGTCAGGCAGCTGAGTAAAGTCCAGATAAAATGATGAAAGAATCATTTTTTCCCCCTGTGTTAAAAAAAAAATGGCCCAAAGAGAAAGGATATAGAATGGCCCAGTTAGCCAAATTGGTTGCCAGCGATTGGCCTCCAAAATTAGAAGCTTTGAAGCGCAGTGGGCTAATACTGCCTGATTGTTTTGTAATTTGGAAATGCTGCTTACAATACAATGAATGGTTTCACATAACACATTAGGCCAGGGTTAATTCCAGCCTAACGTGAATAAGCTAAAATTATGGATCAATTTAAGGTGCTTAAAAGCAAATGTTGTAGGGCCCCTTTTGCCATTGAAAGTCAACTCTAAGTAATCTTAACATATTACGGTTATATGCTATAATTACCTTAGTTTGCCTTCCTTCAGGTAGCATTACTAGTTAGCATTAATTAACGTTAATACTGTTGATAGATTCAGTTTTTAAGCAGTGAATTTATCTAAACTTTATGTCCCTCATATTTTACCATATTTTGTCATCAGAGTGGGAGAGCAAGAGGCCCAGAGCAGAGCAGGGTTAAGAAGCTGTGACTCCTCTAATATAGTCTAGTGGTGTTAGGATGGATAGGCTCCAGGCCTTTAGAATTTCCCAAAAATATCGACCACTTAGCTCAATTCTCCTTTGCTTTGCCTCATCTTTCTCAATCCTGCCCATCATAAGCTAAATAGCTCGAAACAATGAGATTGATTCAATGTGTCTGGTTATAATGCACAAGGGCAGAGTTATATTTCTTTCGGGCTGCCCTTTGCCTTGATAGTTACAGCTCAGAATTTATTTATTTTTAAATAAATATTTTATTAATTTTCTAGTTTTACAATCAAATGCATAATAGACAACATGTTGTCTGGGTCCATTAGTAATCCAGTGGTATATATTAACTTCTTCAATCTAGATCCAATATTACACCATCACGTGTTTCCTCCCTTCTTCCGGTAGTACCTATTTTTTCCATTGCAGCTCAGAATCTTAAACCTTTTTTCCCCTTTTTCCATCAGAGCACAAAAGGAGCTTCTTCCTTTAAGATCGTCACGGGCATTGACAGCGTTGCGGCTAATCTCAGGTTTGTTACTAAAAGTTCGCCTTTTTTTTTTTTTTGAAGGGTTTGGGGAAATGGAGATGGATTCTCACGAGCGGTTTGCTCACTGGGCGATTCTTTCCATTAAAAGGCGCATATTTTGAGTTTTGTATTTTGTCAAATAAACTGCTAAGGAATTTGAATTGCTCATGGTAGGCAACAGAGCAGCTGAGGTCTTTAAACGAACAGAAAAACTGGAAGCCTGT